TCAAAGATGGAAGACCAACCACGTGAGACCGATCAAAGATGGTAGACCAACCACGTGAGACCGATCAAAGATGGTAGACCAACCACGCGCAACCGATCAAAGATGGTAGAACAACAACGTGAGACCGATCAAAGATGATAGAACAGACACTAGAGACCAATCAAAGATGATAGAACAACCACTAGAGACCGATCAAAGATGGTAGAACAACCACTAGAGACCGATCAAAGATGGTAGAACAACCACTAGAGACCGATCAAAGATGGTAGAGCAACCACTGGAGACCAATCAAAGATGGTAGACCAACCATGTGAGACCAATCAAAGATGGTAGACCAACCACGTGAGAACAATCAAAGATGGTAGACCAACTACGCGCCACCGATCAAAGATGGTACATGCCCTACATGGCTGTGACAAAAGCTGGTACTTGTCTACACTACACAGCTGAACACAGCTGGTACATGTCCCACATGGCTCTAATCACATCTGATACATGTCATACATGGCTCTGATCACAACTGGTATATGTCCTACATGGCTCTGACCACAGCTGTTACATATTCTACAAGGTTCTGATCACAATTGGTACATCTAATGCATCGATCTGATCACAACTGGTTCATGTACAATATGACTCTGACCACAGCTGCTACATGTCCTACATGGTTCTGACCACAGTTGGTACATGTCCTACATATATCTGACCACAGCTGTGACATTTCATACAAGGTTCTGATGACAGCTGGTACATTTCCTGCATGGGTGTGATCACAGTTGGTATTTTTTCTACATGACTCTGATCGCGGCAGGCACACGTCCTACATGGCACCTATCAACCAGAGCTGTTGTTGTGTGGCGACTCAACAAAAAGGCATGACTAAAATGTGACAATTGACAATGATTCAAATGCAATTTTCAACAATAAAAAAGACTTACCCCTCTGGATATTTTCATAGTCTTCCGTAGCGACGCACTGCCTGCTCCGACCCCGCAGCCGGAGAAATGGATGATCTTTTTCTTCTTTTTCAAAATATCCCTGACCGTCGAGTCGCCGATGCCGTACTCGCTCATTAAATCTTTCACTGGCAGTCCGTTCTCAGACTTGGAGATGATCTCAAGCTTCTCCCCTATGGTGAGGACGACCCTTTTCCGCTTGGACATGATCGCGGTTGATCCCACTCAACGCGAACAATACCGCTGTGTCCACCAACAACAACCGCTACCTACACACCAACAAATATGCCAGCGTGGAAGGCAGAGAGAGAGGCGAGCGCGCGGATATGCGGGAAGCGGTGTTCTAGGGAATAACTAAGGGTAACACGGATAGATCAGCGGTTAAAGTTAAAGCACTGGCACTGGTAGTTATTCGCTTTACCGGTACCGGGTACGGTTCGTGCTGAGCGTGGGTGTTAAGTTAAGAGAGACGTGTGTCCTGGAGACATCGCTCTGGTGTCTGGTGTGGATTATGGAATATGTTACGTGCGTTTCGGTTGTGCGTGTGTCTGATGTCTGTGGGCACATGTAGTCATTGCCATCACATTTTAGAGACAAATCGGTTCTCTATAATATTCAGCTGTTCATTCAGCAAACTTAGTATTACCGGGTACGCCTAGACCTAGATGTGCAATAAACGTACAGCAGTACGAAAGTAGATTATCCGTAATTGGGACCGGGGGTGTTTCGGATAACCGAACACACCATCGAAAAGTCATTAGTGCACAGACATAGAGTTGAACACCTTCTTACCTTATACCCGTGAAGCCCTCTAATTCCGTGCCTCGATTTGAATGCCTTCAACCAACCCTTGCTGGCCTTGAAGTGAGGATTTCCTCCCATCTCCTTGTTCAACTGCAACGCCTTCTCGCACAGCAGTGGACCTGACAGCGGTACACCCGAACCTCGCACGTGTGTCCACCAATCGAACACGGCATCTTCAAGACCTGCATCACTGGCACCTTTCATGCTTTTCCTTCTCTTAGAATTAGAGCCGTTTTCAGAGTCAAATTTGGCGGCATATTGAAAAATTTCTCCCTTCTGGTTCTTTATGTCTGTTATTGTTGCTCTTCCAACATCGTAGAGCTTCGCCAGAGAGGAGCCGCTTTCTCCTTTGGCCAGACGATCAATAATCTCGAGTTTGGTTGTAATCGTTAGCACGTTTCGCTTTCTCTTGGCGGAAGACATGGTCGCTGCTTGATCAGAACTACAGGTACCGCAAAACACAAAACTGTGGTACTTTTAACGTGTAAGACCTTTGGAAGCAGCCGTTATGTGTCACGATTGCTGGCTAGCAAGAATCACTACACAGGCCGCCACCAACAAAGACGATAATCGCGTGATGCTAAAACTTCACGTGTCTCTAACTCTTATTACGCCCCCCTATAGTGTTCAGTGAATATGAACAAGCTCGTGGTCCAGGGGATTTGAAAAGTGGGCTAACACAGGTAGATTTTAGACACACTATTGGCTAAAATAAAGACAATCAGTGCTCTATATACATGTACTTTATTACCTTGAATATAATGTGAACAAAGATACGTGAACAAAGATACATGAACTCTATATATAAAGAAATTAATACAGGTCCAACTATCTAAATCTCACTGTAATAATAATATACACAATACTAATCACAAGTCGAAGTTCCTGGAATTAATATTTCGGATAACTATTGAATGGCCCTACCTAGTGCTTAGCAAATGCAACGGAATGCTAATCACGCGTCCATATGCTCATTTGGTCTCTCCCTCCTCTACTTCTAGGGGAATACACCAATGCTTAAACTCAAGTTTTTGAGTAGCTTGACCTTAAAGTAGGTCAATGTTCGCTTAATAGATGTTGGCGTGCCATTGTTCGGATAAAGACATGTCGTCCTTCCTGGATGGTGGTAATCTGACCCAGCCTTGGTTAATCGGGTACCGTACACAAAGAGACAGCCCTACGTTGTCACACTCTAACAGTACCGCATGGAGCAGGGCTACCACTTATTTTTTTTTTTTTAATTCCCAAGATTAGGTCAAAACATTTCTCAAGATCATGAAAATATAAAGAATTTTTTTTTTTTTTTAAAGGATCTTGGGAATTTCTTTTTTTAAAAAAGTGAGTTTTGGCCCTGAATGGGGTAGTGAATTCCCAAGATCTTGGGAAATTTCCCAAGGTGTTGCAGCCCTGGCATGGAGTACCGGTATCGGGGTCGAATGACTGATGTCGAAAACCGGTGAGGATTGGCTTTTTTAAAAATATTTTTTGTTGAAAAAAAGGTTGGGGGAGGGGGGAATGGGGAGGGGGGGAATGGGGAGGGGGGGGAATGGGGTGGGGGTGAAAAGAGGCGATTCCAAAAAAATAGATGTATAACTCTTTTTTTTTTTTTTTTTTTT